GGGAGGGTGGAGGGACAGCGCAGGAGGGGAAGACCCTCTATGAGATGGATTGATTCGGTGACTGGGGTAATAGGGATGTGTGTGTCAGAGGCAGTGCGGTTGGCACAGGATAGAGCAGGGTTTAGGGCTGTTGTGCATAGGGTCGCTATGAGTCGCAAACGACTCGACGGCACATAACAACAACAACAACATTGTTATAGACATTGTCTCAATCTATCTGAGACAGGTGAGGGACTTCTCTCTTTTGCTGACCCTCCCTCCACCTTTACAAGCATGATGTCTTCTCCAAGAACCAGCCCCTCCTAACAACATGCCCTAAATATGTGAGACGAAGCTTCACCATCCTTGCCTCCAAAGAACTCTCTGACTGCACTTTCTCCAAGACATTTGTTGTTCTCTTGCCTGTCCACAGGATATTCTGTACTATTCTCCAACACCATAACTCAAAGGCATCAATTCTTCTGTAATTTTTAGTCACAAATAAATAAATTTACTGACTGCTGATGCAAAAGGTGTCGATTGTGGGTCCAAGAAAGAGGAAATCATTGGCAATTCGAATCTTCTCTTACGTTTTTGCCTATCGGCCCAGTGATGAGAATTTTTGTCTTCTTGATGTTGAGCTGTAATGCATATTAAAGGCTGCAATCTTTTAATTTATCCAGAAACAGGCACTCAAAAATCCTATAAATAGTAGCAGAATATTGCTTGATACCATGCTGGAAGTAATATATAGTTAATGTCAATGAAAGTCACAAAAATCTACATGCTTCTAACATTTTAAAAGTGTAATTTCTTGATAAATCTAAGCTGAAAAAGGAGACATTCTGATCTAGATACCAGAATACTCCAAATATTACAAAGAAATTAACCTGCAACATCAGCTACCAAAATGAAACATAACCAGCTCTTGATTAAAATGTTCCTAATATCATTATCAGAAAACTATAAAATTCACAAAGCGGTTTCACATATATGATTTTATATGATTCATATTCAGTGAGTTATTATTAACATACTACTATATATAGATTTTCAACAAGGAAACACAACCCTGCTTGTTGAAACTGAGGAGGACCTGATGCACTTGTTGCAGAGGGTCAAGGACTGCAGCCTCCAATATGGATTGAGGCTCAATGTCAAGAAGACAAAGATTCTTACCATGGAACCAATTGGCAGCATCAGAATGTATGGTGAAGAGATTCAGATTGTTCACAGCTTTAGTTTGCTTAGCTCCACAGTCAACATTCTTGGCACCAGCAGCCAGGAAATTAAAAGACGTATTATGATGGGAAAGTCTGCTGTTAGGGACCTCTTCAAAGTACTGAAGAACAATGGTGTGTCTTTGGTGACTAAGGTGCATCTGATACAGGCCATTGTTTTGCAATACTTGTTATGCATCAGAGAGTTGAACAATGACTATGGAGGATAAAAGGAGAATTGATGCCTTTGAGGTGTTAGTGCTGGAGAATAGTATTGAGGGTACCATGGACTGCTAAGAAAACAAACAGATTCATCCTGGAGAGTGTTAAACCAGGTTGTTTCTTGAAGGCAAGGATTCTGAGGCTTCGTGTAACATACTTTTGACATGTTGTAAGGAGGAACTGGTCCTTAGAGAGGAACATTGTGCTTGGGAGGGTGGAGGGACAGTGCAGGAGGGGAAGGCCTTCTATGAGATGGATTGATTCAGTGACTAGGGTAATCTGGATGGGTGTGTTGGAGACAGTGTGATTGGCACAGGGCAGAGCAAAGTTTAGGGCTGTTGTACATAGGGTCCCTATGCAAGAGACTCGATTACACATAACAACAACAACAAACCAAGACAAAATGACTCGTTTAAGTCACAAAGCTAAAACATGTGACAGATCCTTAGAATCAATACCATGATCTTTTCATATGCCCTCTGAGAGAAAAAGGGTGAGCGCTCTAGAAAGTTTAAAATAATGCAGACATTTAAAAGTTTCAAATTACCTTTTCCAACTGTTCTTGTATCCTCTGGAGTTCTTCCATTCTCTGTCTCTCTTTTTCTTGCATTTCCAACTCTAGCTGAAATGCCAGCTGTTGCTAAATAAAAATACATGTTTTATATTAAAGTCAGATGAATTGAAAGAAGTTACTTGTATCATTCTGACACATTCCAGGATAAGTAAGTTAACACTGCTGTCATGGGGTGACAATTTTTGACTCATAATCATACTATGTGACAGAGTAGAACTGACAGAGTATTTTCTTGGCTATTATCTTCAAGAATTCAAATTTGCAAAGAACCAAGATGGTGGTGGTGGAGGAAACAGTGTAAGTAGCTAGAGGAGCAGTAAGCTGCATAGAAACAAGCCACGAGGGAGACCAATGCAGCACACAGGGACCGATGCAGTTTGACATGGACAGTAAAAATTTGAGTCAGAACTTTTATTAAAATAATTAGTTTGGGAGCTACAGGAGCAGCATGCCAGAGGCCCTGACAGAAGTGGCCAACTGAACTGCTGTGGGCCCCACCTGCAAGGAGAAAGCAGATCCGTGGGAAATTGACTGAGTTTTATTAAGCCTTTCCTATTGGCCAGGAGCAAGAGGATCAGTAGGAATTTTACTGAGTTTTCTTGGTTGACTGAGTTTTCTTGGGCCCCACCAACCAGCCAGGAGTGAGTGGGTCAGGAGGAATTTGACTGAGTTTTCATAAGCCCTGCTGACCCACCAGTAGTGAGCGGGTCAGTGAGAATTTGACTGAGTTTTCTTAAGCCCCACTGGGCCCAAGGTCTGACTGGGGTGGGGGCCATTGGGCAAGGCACCTACATGAGGGCCACTGGGCAGGGTCACTGAGCAAGAGCCACTGGGTGGGAGATGGGCAGCTGGAATTTGAGCAGGGATCCCACTCGTGAGCACACCCAGACACTGAAATTTGAGTGAGGTCCCCACAAGTGGCTGAACTGTCCCTTTGGTTGCCCCACCCCACCCCTTGTGCCTGCTCCATCACCATTCAGCTCCACACCCTTGCCTACAAATCCAGTCAATCAACTTGCCTTTAATCCGGAGCACCTTGATCTGACTTAGTTACAAGAGGCTGCTTTCACAAGCATTGAAATGAAACTTTCCTTGAGTCAGAAGTTCAGAGAGAAACAAAGGCAGGGTAGCTGCCCCACCAATTTCTACAGCATTGTCTTCAGATCAAGAACTTATCAATGTCAGAAAAGAAGCTAGCTATCTCACACCCTACACAAGCACAAAGTAAGATGTCACCCTCCCAAAAGATGACACAGTATCAATGGATTTCCTGAAACCAGAAAGTTGGATGAAACACAGAATTTAAAAGAACAATGATTGAATATTTTCAATGGGTAAAACCCAAACTTGAACAGTGTCCCAAACAGGACACTGCAAACAAAAACCAGGAGAGCTTAAAAAAAAAATCCAAAACAATGCAGATAAAATGAGGCATTAGTGGCACTGGAAAAACAAGAAACCACGTTCAAAATTATGAGGTCCAATGTTTCAGATGCTATCAACATAATGGAGTGACACATGAGCAGAGTTGAATAGGTGGAACACAGAACCAGTGAAATAAAACATAGAATTGTCACCACTGCTCTGCTAGAGCAAAAAGCAGAATCATAAAGGAAGGAAAAAGAAGGAAACCTAAGAATAATGTGGGACACCATCAAGAGAAATAGCATGCACATCATCAGGATCCCAGAGAAGAAAGAAGCAAGCAAAGGCATTGAAAAAGTTGTGGAAGAATTACTAGAGGAAAATTTCCTATGCATAATGAAGAATGAGAGAATATATATTCAAGAAGCTGAGCAAACACCATGTAGAATAGACCCCAAAAGAAAAACACCAAGGCATATCATAGTCAAATTTTCCAGAAGATAAGGAGAGAATTTGGAAAGCAGTGACAGAGAAACAAAGAGTAACCTATAAGGAAGAGCAGATAAGTTTAACTGCAGATTTCCCAGCAGAAACCAGGCAAGCAAGAAGATAGTGGGAGGACATATATCAAACACTCAAAGAATATAAACTGTCAACCAAAAATACTGTACTCAACAACATTGTCCATTAAATATAAAGGAGAGATAAAGATAGTCTAAGAAAATCAGAATGTAAGAGAGTTTGTAGAAGAAAAAAAAAAAACCCAACATTGCAGGAAACACTGAAACACTGAGAGATGTTCTTACAGAGGTGTTACAGAAAGCAGCATGGACCAAAGTAACGAGCAACAACACCAAAAAGAACAAAAAAACGATAGCAATAAAACTCTACCTTTCAATAATCACACTGCAAATGAATGGTTTGAATGCACAATTGAAGAGAAAAAGACTAGCAGATTAGATTTAAAAAAACCAAAACAACAAAATCCATCAATATGCTGTCTACAAGACACACCTGAAAAATGAAGATAAAGAAAGACTAAAAATAAAAGGATGGGAAAAAAAATATACCAAGCAAATGGAAACCAGAAAAAAATAATCTCTGATAAAATAAATTTCAATGCAAAAACCAACACGAAGGAAAAGGAAGGTCAAGAGGACATAACTATAATAAATATCTATGCACCAAATGAAAGACCTCCCATCGACAAACAAATGGATACGGAAGCTCTGATATATTCACACAATGGAATACTACGCTGCAGTGAAACACAAAAAACTGGATGACCCTGGAGGACGTTGTTGTTGTTGTTAAGTGCCTTCAAGTTGTAGGTGACTCATAGTAATCCTATGAATGAAAGACCTGAACGCTTGTACAACTTTCATCCTTTCTCCAGGTTCATAGGATTTCTGGAGGCAAGCTATTTCAGAAGTGGATGTCACTCCTGCTTCCAAGCTTGTTTGAATCTGGGAGCTCCACCAAACACTATAACCATTATCACATTTGACACATCAGTCACAGTGTTTAGCTTCACAGCAACCACGAATTATCTCTTTTCAGCAAGTGGACAGACCAGGGCTAGATGACCTAGAAGAATGTTTCACCAAAAACAATTAAAAACGGGTTTGAGGGTCATGGATTAAAGTCCACCCACCATTGGATTGGTAGCATCACTTTCTGTCCACTAGACCAACTAATCTCTCTCTATGCTGTTGTTGTTGTTGTTGTTGTTGTTGTTGTTAAGTGCCATCAAAATGTAGGTGACTGATGGCGACTCTATTAATGAAAGATCTGAACGCTTCTATAACTTTTATCCTTTCTCCAGGTTCATAGGGTTTCCAGAGGCAAGCTATTTTGGAAATGGATGTCACTCTTTGGAGGACATTATGCTGAGCAAAATATTTCCGTCACAAAGGACAGATACTGTGCGCCACTGCTGCAGCCATTGTCCAGCCCTGGTGCTGCTGAGGCCCCTTTAGGACAGCCCGTGCTGAACAGACTCCGGGAGGATTTACCCTGGAGCTGGGGACCGAGAAACTGGCCCCCGCCCCTGGGTGGACCAGAGGTCGAGAAATCCCAGATTCCCCGGAGGTACTGATTCTGATCCCCTCTTCTGAAGCGCTGCCCTCATGAGACAGCAAAGATCCCGAGGCCTCCAAGGTGAGCAGTGTGTTCCTAATCTGGGGTCCTAGAGACTGTTTGGCTGGACCCCTACCAGCTTCATGAAATCCCCAAATGCCCAAAGATGGGGGCGAGGTGGGGGGCAATAAAACGTCTTCTGAAGGGGAAAACAAACAAACAAACAAGACAGACACTGCATAATGCCACTGTTGTAAAATGGGACTAACATCAGGGTTGAGGTGAGACTGAGAAAAGGGGGACAAATAATGTATACTGCATTGAAACAGATGAGGGCGAGAACTCTTTAAAAGCGATAGATGATTAGGTATTATTATCATGACTGGAGTCCAGAATGAAGGCTGCATAGTGGAATGGACATGTGGGGAGCGATTGTATAACAATGAAAGAATTTTTCTTTTACTTTTCCATAAGAAGAACGAATTGTGGAGGGAGAGGTGAGAAGGGAGAAAAAATGCAATAATGAATGAATGAAAATCCAAAGTCTCTGTAAATGTTCATTAAAATGTTTTTTTTTAAAGGAGTGGGGGGAGAAAGAAATACCTGCAAAATATATAAAGCAAACATTAATAAAACGGAAAAAAGAAATAGACAACACTACTATAGCAGTTGGAGACTTCAATACACCACTCTCAAGAAAAGATAGAACTACCAGAAAAAAAACCTCAACAAAGATGTTAAAGAATTAAACCACACAAAAATCCAAGTCAAGTGAGAGAAGATCTTCACCCTGAAACCCACAGCATTCCTTTTCAGCAGGAAGTAGCTAAGAGAATACGACATCCCCTTTTCCTTATGAATCAGGGTGAAGTTTCTCTCAGGGAGGAGTGATAGGGAATGGCAAAGGACACACTGACAAAGGAGATTAATCAGAACTGGCTTTGACAAGCACTGTGGCAATTGGACAATTAAAACAGACATTCGTGGGGGGGGGAAGAAGAACGAACTGGGGCGGAGGGTAGAGAAAACAGTGCAACAATGGATGAATGAGAACCCAAAATCTCTGTAAATGTTCATTAAAACTAAAAAAATTTAATAATAATTAAAAAAATCCAACTCAACCTCATTAATATTTATGGGCTAATGCACAAAAAAATAAAACCCCACAGTATAACTTCTTCTCCAATGTGCACAGAGCATTCTCCAGAACAGATCACATTTTAGGTTACAAGGCAAGCATCAATAAATTCAATAATATAGAAATAATACAAAGCATTTTCTCAGACCACAATGCTACAAAATTAGAAATTAATAACAACAGGATAAAGGAGGGAAAAAAAACCCATACATTTGGAAGCTAAGCAACACCTTGCTTGAACCTGAGTGGATACTAAAAGAAATAAAAATGAAATGAAAAAGTTTCTTGAAACAAATAACAATGAAAACACAACTTGTCAAAACATCTGGGAAATAGCCAAAGCAGTACTCAGAGGACAATTTATATAGCAATAAACAAACATATCAAAAGGCAGGAAAAAATTACCATTGACTCTTTAACCCAACATCGTCAACAAATTGAAAAAGAATAGCAAGAAAACCCGACACCCTCTAAAAAAACAGAA